GGTCAACCAATCACGCACCGCAGTACCCCGTGTCATCTTACCTGCAGTACGTGTCTGTACTGCACACTTTGAATGGCTGCATCTGTAAACACTCTGACTATCTAATGTGCCCTTTCAGCATATCAGCATATACTACAAGCATATGTAGTCTCAGAAATCAACATGGAAACTTATTTAATTTAATTTATACAGATGCAGCCATGCAGTATGCATGTAAGAAAAAAGCTAGCTGCATTGTACCACAGTATTGTTCAGCATGGCAAATTTTACATTAGACTAGCCAAAGAAGATCGATGGGTGGCACTTGTGGAGTGTTAGATGTTAGTGAAACACTAGCTTCATTTAATGTTGTACATCTTTAGGTCCCTTTAATATATATATATAGAATCATCCACAGGGGAGTGACACATTTGTGGCTCAGTGGTAGAATTCTTATCTGACATGTGAGTGATCTAGGTTCAATTCGTACTTTTAACAACTTATCCTTTGGACATTTGGACCGTAAAGACACTTGTAATAAAATATAATAAAAAATATGTATACTGTATTGACATTTTTATATTTAATATATGTTAAATATTAAAGTAATAATAATGAATGATGTACAAAACATTAATAAATCTCCATAGTGTAGAGTTAATCAATGTTTGAATATTGCCATAGGGGGAGAAAAGATAAACCAGTTTTACCAGTCCAACCAACATTGATTACCCAACCAACAATCTCCAGGATGCTCAGAGAGAGTAAGAACATTTTAAGATGCCCTTAAACAAAAAAATACAAGTGAGGTTTCTTAAGTATGAATATACATTCAGATTTGATACACAGTTTAATATTAAAGAACAAGATTATCTACAAAGAGTTCAACAAATAAAACAGTAAATACTGGGATCTGGTGGGAAATTAATTATTGCTGTTTTGGTTGTGTTTCTCCACACATCAAGGATAATAAATGTGGTGTGAGGAGAATTTTTTGTTGGATAATGACTTTACATGTTAATGTAAACTATGGACTTTCATCTTAGGACAAAAGTTTGTGAGCTTTGCTTTTCAATGTAACATCAAAAACATGCTTTAATCTAATTAATCTTGGTTAAGTACGCTGAAAGTTACTGCGCAACACCTTTTAATTTTTCAAATAATCTGATGCAGGACGGCACTAATCTGCAAAACTGCGAGATGGTGCAGTGAATCCTTAACCCGATGTTTGTTTTATAAGAAAGAAATTTAAGCTAATCTTACTTTAATAATAAAATAAAATATATTTTAAAAGTAAAATGTATTAAAACATATCATATATAAAAGCAAATAAAAAAGAGGCCATTATGACTTGAATGTTTGTAACACTTGAATTTGCAGTGTAATGGAAAATGACTTACAGTCATGTACTGTACAGCAAATTGTGCTATATATTGCAAGTCTGTACTATACAGGATTATATTATGTTACTTATGCTGTTTTGTAGTGTGATGCTTAGTAATTTCATGCAAGTTTACATTCAGTAATTTTTATTCATATACTGTAGATGCATTTCAGATGACTTTTAAATAAACAGACTTTGGGTTTGCTTTGATTCATTTTCTCTTCAAGCAATTATAACATTAATAATTTTAACTGTGTGTTGTTAAAACGGTATATATTTATACAGTATGTTATATATTATGGCTTATCTGCAGTGTAATGGGAAATGAAATGTTTTTAGTTTTAAATTTAGGCTGTCAAGCAGGGTGATGCTTTAATACAGTGGCAGAACTCTTGCTTGCCACATCAGTGAACTGGGTTCAGTTCCCAACAAATGCACAAGTTGTGTTTTTAACAAAATTGGGACAATTAAAACTCTCTCTCTTGTAATAAAATACAATAAATAATATGTGCTATATTGATGCTTTTATTATTTTACACATTACAATATGTTAAATATTAACACAATAATAATAAAAATTACAATGGCATGGATAAACTGATATAAGCATGAAAAAACAGCCTCCCTCCCAGAAACAAGTCTAATTAAATAGCTCAAGCCTCATTTGCAATTGAATAAACACCATAAATGTTTACAGTGAGAACACATTTAATGTATTTGTTCTATTTAAATTGATCAGTTTATGTACAGTAATATTATAATGAAGCCTCTGGTCCTTTGTAAACTATTAAATTAATTAGCTGCTACAGCTGCTGTTTCACCTATTCTTTTGTTCTCTGTCACCAAATTAGAACATCTGGAAAAGAATCTTGGTGTTTTCATATATTTCATGTTTGTTTTTCAGTTTTGTAGAATAAAGCATTGAAAATAGAGGTTCTCTGTGTGTGGACTGGACATCTCTTTATCGATGCTCCTGCAGTTTTGTTTTCTTTCAGTCCAGTAATATTTAAAGGTCCACTCTTTATGTTAAATACAATATTATCTATGACCAAACTGCATTTTTAGAAAGCTTAGTTTTTTGTTTTTACACAATCATCAGTTCATACTGCAAGAATTACTGCTCAGCAGTCACACAGTATCCCTACAGCAGCACA